GTTCTTACCCCGACATGGGACTCCTGAATTTTTATTGACAAAGAATAATTAGAATAACACTTCATGCAGCCACTATGCCAAAGAAAAAACAACAGTGTGAAAAGAGATTGGAGTCAGCCAATACTAGAAACAAGAGTTAGGATGCTCAAAGTGGAGAAAAAAGTCTTGCTGTGGCCATGGCCAGGTCATTGTCTTAAGGCAGGTGTTTCACTCCCTGGCCAGGAGTTACTTCAGGAATAGCTATGTATTGGGGTGAATTGTGGTAATTTCATGTGAAAGTTCCTGTCCAGTCCCTCAGATTGGGCTTATAGTTGGAGATAGGGGTTTTAATATGGTGACTAAGTGAAAACTAGATAATTAGAACAGCTCTTAATTCAATTTAAAGATGAAGAAATTTGAGCCCAGAGGGAGACATCAGGAATACATACTCAGGAATAAGAGACTATGCTGAGAAAACACAGTGAGAGAGAGGCTGCCTACAAGGTTAGCAGAGATGTCTTGGAAGGAGAGTCCTGCTGATACACTCATGGTGGATTCCTAGTCTCAAGAACTATAGGAAAATAAGTTGACAATGTTTAGGCCACTTAATCTTAGGGTTCCCCAAAGAAGCATTGTTGCACTACAGGACCCAATTCCGGTCAATGAGGAAAGTCATGAAAAGTGTCCAAGGATATGCTTTCTCTCTCCTGAAAAAGAACTGAAGGAAGAGAGGATTCATTCTCCCTTGTTTTGTGGTAATACATGGAACAGCAGTAACTACTTTGAGCTCAGTCATAGGTGAAGCAAGACTAAGATAGGAGAAGCTTACTGCTTTAAAGACATAAACAAACTGCTATGTCAACTAAGCCTGGAGGGCCTCTCTTTCTAGTGTTCTTATTTCATGAAGTGATATATCTGCTTTTTATTTCATCTCTCTCTCTCTCTCTCTCTCTCTCTCTCTCTCTCTCTCTCTCTCTCTCTCTCTCTGTGTGTGTGTGTGTGTGTGTGCGCGCGTGCGTGCGTGTGTGTGTGTGTGTGTGTGTGTGTGTGTGTGTGTGTGCATGCACATGCCTGTGGGTATCCACGAAGTTCACTGGTATTGGAGCCAGCTGACATGGGTGCTGGGAATTGAACTCAGATCCTCTGAAAGAGTGACATGCATCTTAACCACTGAACCATCTCTCCAGTCCTGACAGATTTACATTTTTTTAAATTTTAGTTGAAAATAGATTCTTTTCCCATAGACTACATCTTGACCACAGTTTTTGCTCCCTCAACGCCTCACAGCTCCTCTCACCTCCTCTCTTTCACAAATCCACTCCCCCTTCATTTCCTCTTCAGAAAAGAGCAGGCCTCCAAGAGATGACAGCAAAACAGGAAGAAACAAGATATCAAGAGACGAGGCAAAGGCCTCATGTTGAGGCTGGACAAGGAAAACCAATAAGAAGAAAAGAGTTCCAAGAACAGGCAGAAACATGAGAGACATCTGCTGCTCTCACTACTAAGAGTCCCACAAAAACACCAAGCTAACAACCATAGCATAGACACAGAGAACCTGGTGCAGAACCATGCAGGCCCCTTCCTTGCACTTTTTAAAGCTACTTTGAGGTGGCATTTCTATTAGTCACCACTGAATACATCCAGACCTGAACACAGGTGTCAAGGACTGTGAGGTTAGGATGAGGCCACGTGAAGAACAGATATAACAGGCAGTAGGAGCTGGACGCTGGTGGTTAGGAAGGTGATATCCTCCAAATAGCCTCCATTTTCTTAGACTCTTAGGTCTAAAATGTTGTAGGATGTTCTATGATTTATGTACCAATAAGGATTGTAGATGAATTTCTAAATGGTCTTATTAAATAAAAAACACAGAGCCGCCGGGCGGTGGTGGTGCACGCCTTTAATCCCAGCACTCGGGAGGCAGAGGCAGGCGGATCTCTGTGAGTTCAAGGCCAGCCTGGGCTACCAAGTGAGTTCCAGGAAAGGCGCAAAGCTACACAGAGAAACCCTGTCTCAAAAAAAAAAGCCAAAAAAAAAAAAAAAAACACAGAGCCAGATATAGGGATGAAAGCCTGAGAGAAATCAGAAAAATAGGGAAAGCCACAGCTAACCTTACATCACCAACTCTACAGCTTCCAAATGAGAGTTACTTCCTGTCTTCCTATGCCTACATGCCTTGCTGTTCTGCCATCTAATTGGCTCTCTCTGTCCAGCTACATTACTTCCTCTTCCTGTTCAGCTCTGTCACTTACTGTCTGTTTGTACAGACCTCCAGACCTCCATGGTTAACTAGTGTTGGATTTTAAGGTGTGTGCCACCATGCCAGGCTCTGTTTCCAGTGTGGCCTTGAACTCACAGAGATCCAGACAGATTCCTGCCTGCCAAGTGTTAGGATTAAAGGCACATGCTACTGTTGCCTGACTTCTGTCTTTACTTATAATGGCTGTTCCTATTCCTCTGATCTCCAGGCAAGCTTTATTTATTAAAGCACAAATAAAATATCACCACATTTCAGCACAAATAAAATATCGCCACAAAGGATGAGATATATAATGACATCAAGTATGTGAAAATAAAAAAAATTAAAAGGTCTTGCCTCCCAGGGATAGCAACTGAACGCAGCATAACAAGAAGGGAATGCAGGAGGAGGCTCTGGAGGAGGGGGTGTGGGGAGTGGGGACTGGGAGGAGTGGAAGAATGGAGGCTGCAGTTGGAATAGATAGTATAAAAGAAGAACAAATAAAAAGAAAAATGGATACATCTAGTGGTGGCCATGTCAGAGGAACAACAGGTGACAACTAAACTTCAGGAGTTCGGCTCACACAGGCAAAGCACTGATGGGTGAATCTTGGATAGGCAAGGCCCTGAGGCTTTGGCTACAGAATGTCTCTTGCTACTGCTCTGCCTTTACATGTCTGCTGCTGCTATTTTTCTCTGGCATCTGGCATGATGTGAATGGGTGTGGGGGGATCCCCATTGCCTTTAATGTAGTATAATTATCTCATGGAAATATCCAGTTCTACTGGGCATTTTTACCTATGCATTATTATGAGAATGATTTCCTCTTGAACTGTACTGTTTAATTGAAATAATTATTTTATAGAATAATAGTATAGGTTTTAGAATTTTGATGACTGGGAGTTTTTAACAAATATAATAAGGGATTATAATAAAAGATAGTTTGGTGGGAAAAATAATATAGGTAAAGGTAGGATATAGTGTTGCCCCTGCTCCTGATAAAGCAGGGGTTGCAAAGGGTAAAAAATAGGAATAAGGACGTATAGCCACATAGACCATGGTTTACGTTAATGATTAAGAAAACAAATGAGTCCCAGGAGTTAGCTCAAGTACTTTTGGATACTGGGAAATGTGTACATGAGTTTCCGTGTGGGTAACAGGTAAGACAAAGCATTAAACAATTGTCTTCATGTAACTAGAAAACAAAGAATTGGATGTTTAGTTAAGAATAGTACAGATATGGTCTCATGTAGCCCACGGTGGCTTCCAACTCACTATGTAGACAAAGATGGTCTTGAGTTTATTAACTTCAAGATGTGTAGGTTATCTTTGTGTGTGAGCAGTTTTGCTTTTTTTTTTTCCTTTTTTGGAGACAGGGACCTTAAGTACAAGAGCCTTTGTTCTAACCTAGCTATGTAGTTAGGGAGAGGCTTGAACTTCTGATTCCTCTACTTCCGCTTCCCAAGTGCAGGAATTTCAGGCATGCCCCACCAAACCTAGTTTACTTGATGCTAGGGATTAAATCTATAGCTCATGTATACAAGGCAAATGATCTATCAGCTGAGCTACATGCCTCTGTTTTATCTATTCTATCAACCTCTCTGAGATATATTGTATAAATCAGTCATTTAAACATAAGAAGATACAAAATACAAGCTTAATCAAAAGGTGATTCCCAAAGGATTGCAATGTTGTCAGTATTGTAATAAAGCTTTGACTGAGGATGTTTCATTGGTGAGGAAAAGGCAATTTATTCCACTATAGCCCAAAGTGGTGTCTGAGAACAGGAAAAAGACAAAAGGTGGGGATGGAGGAAGTTCAAAGCATCTTCAGAGGGGATTTATAGTGATTTAATCTAAAATGCAGTCTATTGTGAAATTTCACTAGTCTGTGGTAACTATGAGAAAATCAAAGACAAAATAGTGACAGTTATATGGAACTCAATTTATGCAGACTAGAGGTTTATATTTATTCTTAAATGATTATTTACTATTTTGTTGTTAAACTTTTCTTTTTTACAACCAAGTTTGATAATATATACCTATAATCTCAGCGCTTGGGAAGTGGGATAAAGAGAAATTAGTTCAAGGACATCTTCACCTACACAGTGAATTTGAGGCCAGCCTGGGCTATAAGAAATGTACTCTTTTATGCATTGTACCCCACCCCCCAAAAAAAGGTTTCTTCACCTATGAAATGAGGGTGATGATAGATATTTGGGGTTTTAAGTACTACCTTGCAAGAAAGACACAAATAAAAAAGTCCTAATAGATGTCAAATGTTGCAAGTCTCCTCATCTATTTCCTGTTTTGAAGAATAGATGGGTGAAATTCCCAAATCTGTTGATAGTACTAGGATGTGACCTTTAATATTTGTCTTTTAGAGACTTTGAATCCCATAAGTCATCACTGTGCAAAGAACTTTCCTGGAATAAAAGTTGTCCCTCCAGTGGCATCCTGCCAGGAGAGGGGGAGCCTGGCAACGTCTGGACTATTCCCACCAGGCTCTTCCCATAAAAGGATAAGAGCCTCACCAGAGAGAGAGGGGCTCATCTCTACTCAGCTGGCAACGCTTGAGTTTCTGGCAGGGTAGGGAGGGGAAGGCAGTTGCTATCAATAGAGTAAGGAAAGTGAACTCCAGCTCAGGTCTGCTTTAGTCCCAGAGATGTGAGGAGTTTAAAGGAAAAGAAGGAGCCTTTAAGTTGGACTAGATAGGAGCTGAGACAGGAATAAAGGGAAAAGATGGTCTGAACAGAGATTGACCTTCATTTTGCTTTTCTCTAGATGACAATAATCCAAATCGGCTTCCTGCTGTTTATCGTCCTGGCCATCAGAAGTTGCAGCGCTGGTGAGTCTTACTACAGGACCCAGATTCCTCAGGTCACCTCTAAATTTAAAGAAAGTCAGCACCAGACTGAGTTGCTTCCAGGACCCGGGTCTCTGAGGACCAGAGATATGTTTTCATTGTTGTTGGTTTTTTTTCTTTTTTGAGACAGAGTTTTTCTGTGTACCCCTGGCTGTACTGGAAATCAATCTATAGACCGAGCTGACATCACAGTCATAGATCTGCCTTCTCTGCTTCCTGAGTGCTGGAATAAAGACATGGGTCACTATATCTTGGTGATCATGCATTTTTTTAAAAAGTGAAATTAAATATAATTGTATTGTTCTCCCATTTTTTTCTTCCTTCCATTCCCACATTCTAAAAAATAAAGGCCTAGTCCATCCTCCATAGAACCTTTGAGATGTAGGTTGGGTGCTGATTGGCTCTTAAAGGAACTGGCCAGTGACAATGAGATTGTTGAAGTATGTCCTGATCCGGATTCTGTACTTGTGTGTAGCTGTAGGGGACCTTCTGCAAGAACTGTGTACCATCCTAGTTATTCCTTAGGCTGAGGACCTTTGCTTTAGGATTTCAATACCAAGTGAATGGTCTGGAGTGTACCCAGAGAATGTTTTCTTGAATTCTGCACTCTATAGGAACTCAACATTATTTTAAAATGTGTAATTCCTCTTCGCTGCTGCTTTTAGAATAAATGCAAGTCCCTAAATGCCATCTTATTTGATCTCCACATAATAGTCTTTGTAAGCTCAATATTAGGCAATAGGGATCTGAGGCTCAGACACAGTAAATACAATCCCAAAATACTTGACTTGTAAACATGGAGTTTCTTACACCTGAGTAGCTCTGATCCCAGAGTTCTTGTTTGTTCCCATCTTTCTAGGTTCTCAGAGGACTTTGCAGAGTTGAGGCTAGTTTGCAAGGCTTTTTATTCCAGAGTCTCTTGGTCAAGCCTCTGCAATGTCGACCTTACTACCCATGCTTCAGGCACATTAGGTTCCCTGCATTTCTTATACCTGCAAAGCTGGACTTCACTTTATTCTCCTATTTCAGGACTTTGAACACAAAGTTCTCCACACCTTCAAATCTGTTGTCTTTCTTCCTAGTTACAAATCTTGTTGATTCTCAGAGTGAGGCTTTGAGAAGTCATGGAATGAGTTTAGGATGGATATAAGAGGAGGCTGGGTGTTGCATGAGAGTGAAACTTTGCATCTTCTCTAGATGAAGAAAATGTGGATACTAACAAATGGACCAATCCTGTGCCTTCCTTTCTGTTCAGAAGCTGCAAAGAAATCAAGCAGGAGATGACTAGGGCACGAAGTGAGTGATGAAGTATTTAAAGACTACACTGTAACTCTAATACTTGGGGGCCCAAAGCAGAGGATTGAAAGCTCCAAGCCAGCCTGGGGAGAACCTTTCTCAAAATGCAAACAAATAACCCAGTTAGGAAATCACCTTTTTGTCCTCGAATAGCTTTTCTTTTTTGATATAGAAAATGTGATAGAATGTACATAGTGGATAAAAATTGCCACTTACCCAATTTTAAGGGTTTTCAAAGTCAAGTGCAACTTTCACAATGGTATGGATCATCACGATCCATGTCCAAAAGTTTTCATTCCTTAAATTGAAATTCTGAAGCCACCAAGCCATAAATTCATGTATTCACTGTGAACTTCTGTTCTGTTTTCTACTTCTATGAATCTGTCAATTTTTGATACCTCATATGAGTAATCTGCCTTATTTCATTAACATGCTCGAAGGCTCTTACGTGCTGTAACGTAGTTAATTTAGTTTAAAAAAAAAAAAGATTTATTAGCCAGGCAGTGGTGGCACATGCCTTTAATTCTAGCATGTGGGAGGCAGAGGCAGGCAGATCTCTGGGAGTTCTAGGCCTGCCTGGGCTACAGAGTGAGTTCCAGGAAAGGTGACAAAGCTACACAGAGAAACCCTGTCTCGAAAATCCAAAAAAAAAAAGATTATTATTATTATTATTATTATTATTATTATTATTATTGCATAGGTGCACATGTCTTATGTTGGAATTTGTACATGTATGTGCAGGTATGCAGGTACCTGCAGAGGCCATCTAGTCCTCTGGAGCTGGAGTGACAGGCACTTGTACACTGCCAAGCGTGAGTGCTGGAGCCTAACTCAAGTCCTCTGCTAGAGCAGTACTTTCTTTTAACCACGGAGCCATTTCTCCAGCCCACTTCATTCTTTTTGATCTATTGGGTGTATAGGAATGTACACAAATATATTCTCTTCATACTAGACAGCACAGATTATCACTTATTCCTTAGAAATACTTGACCTGTTTCTGCCTTCAGGTTGAGACCTGCTCTTGTAACAAAAATGAATGTACATATCTGAGTCTGTGTTACCAGTTCTTGGGGTATTTACCAGGGGGAGTTGTTAATTCCTTTGATAATACTATGTTTAACTTTAGGGGAAACATCACTGTCAGTTTGGGTAATTGTGTGTTCTGCCTCAGCCACAGAAGCTTTCTGAACTCAAGTAGATATCAGTATCCCTAGGGACACATGTGATAGGACACTGAGGATATGAGGCATTAACCATAGTTGTAGTTCCTAGAGTCACTCTGCCTATGGAGCAGAGATGGACAATGAACCTGCACACAGGACTGTGGACTGGTTCTCTCTACAGATGGCCTCTATTTCCTCCGCACGGAGAATGGTGTCATCTACCAGACCTTCTGTGACATGACCACTGCAGGTGGTGGCTGGACCCTGGTGGCCAGTGTGCATGAGAACAACATGCTTGGGAAGTGCACAGTGGGAGATCGCTGGTCCAGTCAGCAAGGTAGCAGAATCGACTACCCAGAGGGGGATGGCAACTGGGCCAACTACAACACCTTTGGGTCTGCAGAGGGGGCCACAAGTGATGACTACAAGGTTGGTACACTCTGTGGCCACTTGGGAAAGGGTGAGGATATGAGTGTAGCTTAAGCATGCCAGGGAGAGGGTTGGAATGATGCCCTTCAACATAGGGCTGAAGAAGTGAAAAATACTCATCTTGAATCTCAACATCCTTCAAACTAGTCTTTTAGTTAAGTAGAAGGTAGCAATGGGACCACTGTCCTTGGAAATGAGGGTATCTGAGCATGGATGGCCATCTGTCCACTTGGAGCCCATAGCTATCAGCTCTGCTGAGGATTCTGCATGTGAGTCTTTTGCTTGGTGAAATCTTCTTGTTTGGTCAGGCTCAGTGTTGGTTGCTTTCCAGAACCCTGGCTACTTCGATATCCAGGCTGAGAACCTGGGTATCTGGCATGTGCCCAACAAGAGCCCCCTGAAAAATTGGAGGGACAACTCCCTGCTGAGGTACCGCACCTCCACTGGCTTCCTGAAGGACATGGGTCACAATCTGTTTGGCCTGTACCAGGTACTGAAGGCTAATGGCTGAGGCTGCTTTTCAAGGGTTTAGAGAGAAAAGCAGGTGTTTGAGGTTGGGTGGGTTGTATTCCGTGTTTCCCTTATTCTAAAATGTAATGAGTCAAGGAGGGCAAAGGGTGGGAGTATGTGGAAAAGAGAGGAGAGGAGAAAAGTAGGGAGGTGGAGATAAGAGAAGAGAAAAGGGGGAGGGGGCTAGGTGTCAGAGAGACACAAACAAAAGAAAGGATTCTTTCTTATCTGACTGGTTTGGAAACAACCTCAGTTACTGGATACATGGTGGACAGTGTTCCTATGAGTGCCAGTGCTACAGTCCTTACCCAGGGACTTCTTTTGTTCCTTGTAGAAGTACCCGGTGAAATATGGAGGAGGAAGTTGTGGAACTGACAATGGCCCAGCAATACCTGTGGTCTATGACTTTGGTGATGCTCAGAAGACAGCCACTTATTACTCCCCCAATGGCCAGAGTGAGTCTCCAATGCTTCTCTGAACATTCTGCAGGACAAGTGATGAATTCAGTTTTGATAAGTAACTGTCACTTACCATCCTTTACAGCCTGTTTCTCTTACATAAATGTTTGTGTTTTCTTTTACTTCAATCAATCACTTGGACTGGCAACTATTATTAACCCGTTGTACAGATTAGGAATGTGGAGCACTGAAGGTCCAGGAACTTGCCTGAGAGCACAAGGCATAAGCAGAAAAGTCAGCATTTGCACTGGGGATACGCAGTTTCAGCATCTACTCTTAGCAACCTTGTTATCATTCAGAGGTTTCTAAGGGACAGGCCAGGTCCATGTGCATGGGGATGAACAAGAGAAAAAAATGGAGTTTTATTTCTGTTGTGAGGAGTGACTGCTATGTTGTCTAATATGAATTCAAATGTGGCATCTACCCTTTATAAATGCTGAGCCTGTGGTGCATATTTCAAATCTTCTTATTTATTCTTTGGATGTAAGGCTTTAAAGAAAAGTTACAAAGGTAAATGTGAACAGGACCAAAATTAATATACCTGATAGGGGTAAGCCCTTTGATATATTCATTAGAGACCTTACTGTATCATAAATTTCTCCACTCAAGTTCTGACAGATGGAGACCTTTTTTCAAGGACTGTCTCTTTGGTACTGTGGATATGAATAGGTGAGGTTCCCCAATAGGTCTGATATTTTAGACTGAATATCCTGAACCTGGGACAACCAAACTCTGGGCTGACAACATTTCTAGCATTTTACTTGAATGCTGTTTTCTCTCTCTTGTTTTCAGAAGAATTCATTGCAGGATACATCCAATTCCGAGTGTTTAATAATGAGAGAGCAGCCAATGCCTTGTGTCCTGGGATGAAGGTCACTGGATGTAACACTGAGCATGTGAGTCTGTGTAGTAACCATAGAGGCTCATGAATAAGTCTGAGGTTGCCAGTGTGTATCTATGTATATGGAGTATGGGAGGCTGCTATGTTAGTGTGTGTACATAGATGAGAATGTGACCTTTCCCTGTAACTTGCCTTGTCTCAGGGATCATAACTTCTGTCTAGATACAGAAATTCTGTCCTGTTGAAGACCATAGTCAACATTACAAACTTCTAATTGCACTGTTGCAGTTTGCTTAGATTTTAGGATAAAACACTCAGTTACCTGGAATGAAGGTAACACTTGTATTCAGGAAGTCCTGTGCAAGACTTTGGGGCTGAGCTTGTAAGAGAGTCACCAGGTATTGTCACACTCCACCTGGGATTTAGCTTTCAGAGTGAAACGTATCTTTTCCAGGGCTTGTACAGATTTTCATTGTGTCAAGGGGTTACTAAGAGAGTCTTGGACATCTGGTAGACCTCACCCAGGCCATTCTCCCTATCAGAAGGAATTTCTCTTGTAGGATGTTGGCATATAAACTAAATGACAAGGCAGGTGCACTTACCTCTACTGCAGCAACCTGATGTTACCCTGAGCCTGGCATCATTAGACACATACTGTTTAGTTTTTTAATAATTTTTGACCAAAAGGACTGTTGAGGATGGAGCCCTTTTATTGCCACAGTGAATGATGTAACAAGTTAGCATGTTCTGACCAAGGATGTTGGTGCACATCATTAATCCCAGGACTCAGGTGGTAGAGACAGGCAGATCTCTGTGGTTTGGGGGCCAGCCTGGTCTACGTAGTGAGTTCCAGGTCAACCAGAGCTACAGGTAAGACCCTGCCTCAAAAAAAATTATCATGTTCTTTTGGAATCCAGTCCTCTCTAAAGTAACAGTCTGAGAAAAGTGTCCTCAGCTCCTGGCAGGTGATCCTGAAGATCTCAGTGTCCATTCATTTCTCAGTCATTAGCTTGTCCTTCAATCTAATGTGGCTGGAGAGGTAGTTCTGTGGTTAAAGTACTTGTTGTTCTTTCAGAGTACCTGTGTTTGTGTCCCCCAACCCTCTGCAGCTCACAACTGTTGTAACTCCAATTACAGGGCATAGAATGTCCTCTTCTAGCTCAAGGGCATCAGGAATTCAAGCAATATGCATACATACGTGCACACAAAACACTCATACATTTAAAATAATTACATCTGAAGTAAGACAAAATAAAATCCCACCCAAACAAGCTGAGGCAGCTTTGATGTCAAGGAGGACCTTGGGACTATGGTGTGAAATGATGAAATGGGAAGAGCAATTGGTGTTGAGGGCCTAGCAAGCTGTTTTCAGTCTTGATATGTAAGAGAGATGTGGGAACAGGAAGAACTATTTTTGAAATGTTAACATGGACCTGATCAGGCAATAACTTTTACATCACACCAGTGGTTTTTGGACTGTATAAGTGATGAGCCCCACTGCAATGTTTTAACAGGGACGTAAGATTGATATGTGCCTCCTTTTTTTTTTCCAAAGATGACATTGGTAGTGTAGAGGTATCAGATTCTAATGGTGGAATGGAGGAAAGACTAGCATAAGGAAGTAAGTATTGAAATGGGGGTTCCATGGTCCAAATGAGAGTGTGATGTTGTGTGATGGGAAATTTGGAGGGAGGGTAGGCACTAATGAGTTCCACAGACTTTAAGTTTATCAATAGTTGAATACAGAGAATGGAAAGAGAAGACATTTTGAATAGTATCATGGTTTACATTTGAGTAGGTGAATATCAAATAGCAAGCCAAACGGTCTGGATGCTGAATATGTTTGAGATTTAGGAGGGTTATACAGTCATATGATGCTGGATTTATATGACATTTATTTGACTTTATTTGTATGTGTGCACATGTATATGCAAGTGATCACAGAGGTCAAAAGGAGACATTGGATCCCTGTGAACTGGAGTTAAAGTCTTTTGATTGGGTGCTAAGATCTGATATGAATGCTGGGATCTGAACTTTGGTTCTCTGATAGTGTAGTAAGATGTCTTAACCTTGAGACCTTCTCTCCAGCCCCCATGCTACTAGCTTGTTCGGATGGGATTTTATTTTGTCTTATTTCAGATGTGATTATTTTAAATGTATGACTGTTTTGTGTGCACATATGTATGCATATTGCTTGGGTTCCTGATGTCCTTGAGCTAGAAGAGGACATTCTATGCCCTGTAATTGGAGTTACAACAGTTGTGAGCTGCAGAGGGTTGGGGGACACAAACACAGGTACTCTGAAAGAACAACAAGTACTTTAACCACAGAGCTACCTCTCCAGCCACATTGTTACATGCTTTGGTCAATGATGGACTTTGAATGTGGTGGTGGTCCCAGTGGATTTGTGTTGCCTGCTAAGATCATAGTCATTCTAACCTGTGTAAGTATAGCTTATAATGTTCACAATGATGAAACTGTCAATGAATTTCCCCCAAATAAATGCCCATTTTTAAGTTATGTGAGGCTGTAAGTAACTGTGTTTTGATTTTCGTTTGTTTGATTATTTTTTTGTTTGTTGTCATGTGGAGTGTGAAGACCCTGAGTAGTGATTCTAAATGGCAGCCTGATCATTAAGTCTTAAACTTAAATAAATATCTGGATTGGAGATAGGGATTTTAAGCCATCAGTGAATTGTTCATAACTAAATCTAAAGGGGTAACACAAAGTACAAGAGAGTTGTAAATGTGTCACATCTGGAAAACAGCACATGCGGAATTCATGTAGAAAAGTCTAGCCAGGGAACCTGAAAAAATGGTTCAGAGAAGTTGAAGAAAAGGAAAGAGGAGACAGTGATGCTACTAAAGCCGATGGAAGGGGGTTTTATGGATCAAATAGAGTGATACCACCAACGGAGAGTCTGATGAGGAACAAAGAGTCCACTGAACTTGGCTATTGAGGTGTCTCTGGATTCATCAGCTATATTAGTCAGATTTTTTTTTGCCTCTGTGATAAATACCTGAGAGATACAATATATGGAAAGAAGGATGTGCTGGCTAGTTTTATGACAACTTGACACAAGCTGTAGTCATCTGAGATTAGGGAACTTCAGTTGAGAAAATGCTTCCATAAGATCAAGCTGTAGGCAAGCCTGTAGAGCATTTGCTTAATTGCTGATTGATGAAGGAGGGCCCAGGCCACTGTGGGTGGTGCAGCACCACTCTGTGGCCTCTGCATCACTTCCTGACACCAGGTTACTGCCCTGTTGAGTTCCTGTCCTGTCCTTCAGTGATGAACAGTGATATGAAATATAAGCCAAATAAACCATTTTGTCCCCAAGTTGCTTGAGTCATGATGTTTCATCACAGTAATATTTACCCAGACTAAGACACAGGGCTTTATTAGTTTGATGGTTTCTGAGTTTTTAATCTGTGGTTGCTTGGCTCTATTACTTTTAAATCCGTAGTGGGACATGATAAATATCATGCAGAAAAGATATATAAGAGCAATTTGGCTTGCTACATAGTGTCAAGGAGCCAAGAAAAACCAGAAAAGGCCAAGGCAAGTTATCTTCAAAACATGCCACTCACACCTTCAGTATCTGTTTCTTCTAACCAGATACCCCTTTTCATACAACCACCACCTCCCAATAGTCAGTTCACAAAGACTGACTATTAGTAATTAACTAACTAATGAAGGCAGGATCCTCATATTTAATTCCTTCCCTAAAGTTCTGCTTCTGAATGTTACTTACACTAGGGATCTAGTCCTCAGTACATAGCACCTTTTGAGAGGGAAATTCATATAAAAAATAACACCTCTCATTGCTACTTCCTTTCATTGTTTTCCAGCACTGCATTGGTGGAGGAGGATTCTTCCCAGAAGGTAACCCTGTGCAATGTGGCGACTTCTCTGCATTTGATTGGAATGGATATGGAACTCACGTTGGGTACAGCAATAGCCGGGAGATAACTGAAGCAGCCGTGCTTCTGTTCTATCGATGAAAGCTTTGTGGTGTGGGACTGACATGTCTGGAGAAAAATTTCCTAGTAAATAGAATGCTAGTGACACAGGAAAGGGGAATAAATCATGTTACTGCAGGCTTAGGTTGTCTTTGTGATTCCTTTTTGTGCAGGGGTGAGAGATTTCAAAAGAGTTTCTGCTGCCCTGTTTGAGTCTCTTGGGATATTATTGCTGGGAATTCTGATACAGTAATACTATTTTTATTTTTTCTTCTCTCATATATTACATCCTGACAGCAGCCTCCCTTCTGTCCTTTCCTCCCAGATCCTCTCTTATGCCCTCTTCTCCAGATCCTCTTCTATTTCCCTTCAACAAAAGGACAGGTTTCCCAGGGCTATTGACCAAACATGGCATAAGAAGTTACGTAAGACTAGATACATTGGCTTATATTAAGTCTGAAGAAGGCAATCCAGTAGCAGGAAAATGTCGAATATTCCTGTACCCTGTGTGAAGATATGTTACTGTGATTGGTTCAATAAAAAGCTAAATGGTCAATAGATAAGCAGGAGGTATAGCAGGGTCTTTCTGGGAAAAAGAAAGACAGATGCTAGCTGGAGGCAGAGGAAGCCAGGCATGAAGGAGGAGAGGGAAAAGCCATGAGCCATGCAACAGCATGTAGATTAATAGAAATGGGTTTATTTAAGTTATAAAAACTAGGTAGGAACAAGTCTAAGATAAGGCCAAGCTTTTAAGTCTCTATGTCATTTTTTTGTAAGCTAGTGGCCCAAAGAAAAATTCATTCACATAAGGGTATCCAATTTGGGGACACATATCTGCATAAGACCTGAGAAAGCAAAATAAAAAGTTTCTAAACACACAAACACAGAGCCAAACACAGCTTCCTAGTCCCATAGTCTCATTTGGGCTGCATTACAGAGATGTGTCTCCTGGTAGCTGCCTGTGAGCTGGAGCCACCAGCACACCATCAGCTAAGCTGTGTGGCAGGTTCAAAGTTTGACTCATGTGGTCAGAGAATGATGCAGGTGCCTAGTAAAGCAAAGTCCAGACAGAAAATGAAAGCATGGACACTTATAAAAATAGTTTAAAAATATAAAGTTCTTAAAGAGACAAGTAAAGTAGGAAAAAAATATTCCATGTAAGATTGAGAAATGCCGGGCAGTGGTGGCGCACGCCTTTAATCCCAGCACTTGGGAGGCAGAGCCAGGAGGATCTCTGTGAGTTCGAGGCCAGCCTGGGCTACCAAGCAAGTTTCAGGAAAGGTGCAAAGCTACACAGGGAAACCCTGTCTCAAAAAACCAAAAAAAAAAAAAAAAGAATGAGAAATATAACACAGGGAGTTTGGGCCTTATATGGTACATCATTAATTTTGAATTTTTTGAATGCTAATAAACATACAGCAGATGCTGAGAAACATTGGATTGTGGAAGGTACTGCTGAATTAAACCAACCTATATACTTTAGAAATTCCTCAGCTTTAAAATGGAAGTCAAAAAATGCATTAAACTGGGGATGGAGTTATGATTTTGTTTCCAACGGAAATGTAAGGCTCTGGATTCCTTCCAGGTTAATAGAGATCAGATTTGACTAGGGGAGACCTCCTGAAGATTTTGGCTATAGACATGGTAGAGGAAACAAATAAAAACTAGAGGAGAGGTGACATATATGCTGATCCCTCTGCATGGGAACATCTCAGAGACAAGATGAGACATGATAAATCTTGTTGGCTAGCGAGTCCTCATGATTTGTTATTACATGACATCCTTTCATATGGCATGGATAGAGATTTACATTAGTGTTTGATTAAGTAGTCCAAACAGACATATAAAGTTGACAGATGCCTTTTATCTGCTCAAACATAGAACAAAAAAATCATCTTTGACTGACTTGTGCACACCACACATTCCATACTTGTGTTAATACAAATATGTATGTTACCTTTAAAAGTTTGTGTGCTTTCAGAACAAGGGGAACAGACACCAATAAAAATGGGTGGCCCAGGTGATCCAGCCTCTCAGAGTGACTCTGTTGCAGTTTCCTCAGAGTTATACATCCAGAACAGCATCGAGGCTGCTGGCTGAGATGGTCCAGCTTCACAGACTACTCCAGCCAGACTTCACATAAGCCCTACATTTTCCCATCACACAGACCAGACAACAGCTAGGTCTCCCAGGACTTGACCATTATCCCAATTTTCTAAGGGTCCCTAGATATGCCATTGCCCCGAGAGAACAGAAATCAGCCTTAGAGAACATGATGCCCATATTCCCAAGAGGTGGGATGGGTTGTTTTTGGTCACTCAATAGGTTATGTATATTTGTCATCATTTAGGCAAGGTTAGTTACAAGTTGTTATTAGTAATGGTCAGGAAAAAAGCTGAACAAAGGAGATTAGATTCAGGGATCTCATTCTTAAAAGAAAAAGGGGGATATAAAATGATAGGATAAAAGGATAGATTATTGAGTCTACATTTAAACTAAAAAAACAGCTACTAGTCTCAAATATTTCACATTGGTATGGATTTTTGTATTTTGATACAAATTTAAGGTGGTTTTATTACCCTTTTCATAAGTTTCTATTCTTGTTTAGGGTATTATTCCTATGCAACTCATTTTAAAATGTAATGTAAAGTTTTAGTCCTTGAAAGTTATTTAGGATAATAAAGAAATACAGTTTAATACTTAATTATCTAACAATCAAACTAACTGAACCAAGAGTGTGGGAGGGTTCCAAACGCAGGAGGGCCTCTTACTTGTTCTTCTGATTGGCATGGCCTCCAGCCATATTTCTTTAGGTAGAGCCTCCCAAACATCAGGAGGGATACAGGGTATGGAGGAGGCACTTTACCCCACTATTTCCTTATTTTATCTTTAAAGATTAAAGTAAATAACTTATGTGTAAAAGATTATGTATGTATGTGACTTTGTATTAATATGTACCACATTATGTGCAGGTGACTGATGAGTCCAGGAGAAGTCACTGGATTCCCTAGAACTGGAATTACAGGAGGTTGTGAGTTGCCTGAAGTGAGTGCTGGTAACTGCACTTGGGTCCTCTGAAAAAAAAAACTGATGTCCTTGTAATTGCCGAGCCATCTCTCTATTACCCTTCCATCCTCCTCCTTCTCTTTCTCTTCCTTCTCTTTCTCCTCACCCTCCTTTCCTTTTTTTCTAATAGAGTCTTATGTGTCCTAAATTGACTTTAAACTGTTCTTGCAGAAGATAGAAGTTTGGTTCACAGCACCCTCATAGCTCACAACTGTCTGTAACTCCAGTTCCAGGGTATGTGATTCCTTCTTCTGGCTGCTTTGGGCAATGCATATACACACTGTACATATACATGCAAGCAAAAGTGATATAGATATTAAAATAAATGTTGGGGTGGGGAAGAGTATTTATCTTGTTTGATAGATTTCCTGGAACCTGGATAAGAAATTGATTGTGGTCTCTACTCTTCCCCATTTTTTCCATCTCCTCTTTCCTTAATAAGCAGGCTTTTGCTAGCTATTCTTTCCTGATTTTTCTCTTATTTCTTGTCTTCATTCTTCATCCCAAAGATGTGGGACCAGCATGATAGCTCATCTGATAGGTGTGCTTGCCAATGAGCCCAATGACTTGAGTTTGATTCCCAGGATCCACATGGTAGAAGGAGAAAACTGAGTTGCAAAATTGTCCTTTGACCTCCATGGCATAATTGCTTGTGCATCATACACACACACACACACACACACACACACACACACACACATACGTGCATGCATGTGCATGCATGCATACACCGACACACACACATGCATAAATAAATGTAAAAAAAATTTTAAACTATATATATTTTCTTGGTTCCTCATTATTCTCATATGCCTTTCTTCCAACTAGAGAAAGCAATAGGAAACCTGAATGAGTTTTATCCATTGGCAGTCCCCTGTTGGAGGATATGGGATCATGTTGTGAACCTCAAGTTAGCATTTGAGTTAATTAAATAAATTTAACCTTGGGTCAGGAGGCTGAGTTAGCAACTAGTTGGCAGAAAGAGCATAGTCATAGAGCATCAGAGGGCAACAGGAAGATTACAGAGAGGCACCAGAAGTAGTAGGGAGGGATTTTGAGTATGCTGCTTTTCTGTTTTAGTAAAGTAGAAGCACATGCTTTTTGGGGAGACGCCAGCAGGGAGAGGAAGTCAGCTATTTGCTACACAACCTCTCTGAGCTAGCAGGCTTCACCCCAGCCTTTGAATCTCAAGTCTTATTTATAAATAGAACAATAGAGATTTAGTTAAATGTACCTTTAGTGGCAGCAACAGGGCTGGCTCCTATGGGAACAGAATTACCAACCAGTCTTCTGCCAGAAGGACCAGGCTGCTAACAGAGAAGCAGGCAAGTAACAGCAGAGTCACAGTTGCTGACTGAAATAGCTTCAGATTAAGGCACAGCCACTGTGCCAAAGATAAAACAACAGTCCCCCGTGTGTGACCCAGTTCCCTGGTGTCAGGCACTGTTGACTGGGAGTGTGCAGACCAGTTGCAGAACACTTTTGTCTTTTACATGATCCCCAACATTTAGTCCAGGAACTAGATCAATAAGGACTGTTGAGCTGTGAAAAAGAAGACAGGTGAGCCCCGTTCTAAAGCTGCAGGCTTTTCCAATGCAAAAGTGACAAGTTCTAGGAAAGCACGTTTCAGGGAGCTAGGGAAGCACAGATGGGAGCCTGTAATCCAGAGAAGGCTGCCAGGAGGACCTCACTGAGAAGGTGATTTGGCTTAACTCCTCCCCTACCCTAGAGAGATGACTGGCATATGCCATTACTTTCATGGTCTCCTGCTCACTTCTTGACTTTCCCCAACCCTTGATAAGTTTTTCATCTACCCAAGTCTCAGTTTTCTTATTTGTTAAATATTGATAACAGTAAATTTCCCATGTGTTTTTTGTAGTTGCATGTTTTTCTTCTACCCACCCATTCCTAAATACTCAGCAGTGGCTTCCCAAATAATTGACTCAGAGGCTTAATATTACTTGTAAATGCTTATC